AGTTAGACGAATTTTTATAGAAAATATTTAAAGAATTGTGATTTAAGTAGTAAGTGAGTTTGTTTTCTATTTTATTAATTAAAATTTGATTCTTTGAAGAGTATAATATTTAAGTAATTTTTTATAAATTCTTTAATTTTGATGTAATAATTTGTCTTTCATCAAATAAAAAAATTAATCTTAAAATACATTTGAATTAACTTAAAAATACCTTAATTACTAAAAAAACTAATAGAAAATAAAATAATTTCTACTTTTTATTTAATAATTTAAAATTATTTTATAAAATATTTTCAAGCACATTAACAATTATATAGATTGAAAAAATACACAAATAAAATACACTTACAACATTTATATGGCCATAATAAATTTTTATGTGGCTGTAAGGTGGACGGGCTTTGGGGGACCAAAATTTGGTGGTGTCAAGAAGACGTGCCAGTGAGAGCTACAGTCCTTTTCTCATGGATTTCCTACAACAATCATTCCTGTTTTTATTAGCCACTTGCATTTTTTGGTGGATCTGCAGCCTTTTCTTTATTTTCCTCATAATTATAAGGTTAAATGCCAATTTTACCATCCAAATTTTACACTTTGAAATTTTATCCTTAAATTATTTTTGGGATTCACCCTCAATTTTATAAATTACTTTTTTATATATTTTTTTTCAAGGAAGTGATGATGTGACCCCTAACAAGTTCACAAATTTATTTTTCTTCAATTTTTGGATGATGTATCTTATTATAAATAGATATTTTAACTTAATTAAACAAAGTGTATGGTGTTTATATTGATAATTTTAGCTTAAATTGATAAAATAATATGATAACAACTAAAAACAATTTGTCAGTTTAAATTTCTTTATAAATTAAAATAGTAAAAAATATGAAATAACAAAAATATCTTTAAAGTTTTCTTCTTCCTCCTCAAATTTCTCCTCTATCAAAAATATTTTTGTGCACCATAAGTCTACATGAACTAATTTAGTGACATATCATTGTGACATTATTTAAAAAATATAATTTTAAACTGATTTAACAATCATATCATCACTTAATTGACAAAATAACAAAAAAGTGAAATTTATGGACTTAAAGAAATAAAAATATGCTGAAAATAGTTAAGCACTAAAAATATTCAAAATGTAAAGTTTAAAGACTAAAATTAACATTTAACCTAATTATAAATGACCAATTGGAGGGTCCTGTTTGGGTACTTTGGTCTACCCCTTAAGGTTCTGCTTCAGAAACTTTCTTTTCTAATTCTTAATGATTTTTATATAATTATTTTTTAAGCTTCATATATTTGGCAAATTTCTACCTTACATGTTAGGTGATATTATTGTTCTCTTAATATATTGAAACAAAATAATCATTTGGAGTGAATAATAGAGGACTATCAATGAAAAAAACAAAAGTGAAAGGAAGGAGACCTTTTTATTAAGGTCACACAAATAATGTAATAGTTCTATTTACTTGATTAGTTTTATCAAATTATAAAATTTTTAAATAATTAATTATAATATTATAAAATATTAATTTATTTATTAATTTTAATTAATTAAATAATAAATATTAATAAATTTATTAATTAATAATTATAATTATTAATTATTTTTAATAATTAAATATTATTTTATGTTACCATAACATAAATAAAATTACGTCACAACAACTATTTCCCAAGAGAATAATGCAGAAAAATCTTTATTCTCGATCGATATTTTAGCTGGTACAAATGAGTATATCTTTTCTTTATCATTACATACAGTATTTCTCTGTTTGTCTGTTCTTATCAGTTTGTCTTTTCTTTATGTTGTATATTATGGGATTAATAATTAATTATTTGATAAATAGCACACTAGCCTTGTGGTGTTGGGTCTCACTATTTATGGGCCATGTATTTGACAGTTTATTTGTCTTTTTCTTTAGAAGCGTGCTAGTGCCACGACAATCATTTGAAGAGAATGCCGTTGGTGTGAGATTTGAATATAAGCCACAGGAAGTGCTTTTCACAGTCATTAAATTAAAAG